TACCCACTGAATCATATTGATTTTGGTTTGAGACAAAGGCTTGCTTTCTATAGTAGGCTGACTTTAAATCGACTGCAATTCTCTGTTGGCCCTCTACCTGCTTTGGTTAAAGGTGTGAGCTACTCCATCTCCCTGCCTTGTGGTGAACTGAGGACCTTTCGAATGCCAGGCAAGCCCTGAACTACACGTTTACATTACAGCCCGATATTCCTTTGTGTTTCTTTCTCTCTCTCTCTCTTTTTCTCGTTTTGTAACCTTGACTGACTCAAAATTTTCTGTGCTATAGATAAAGAGATATTCCTGCTTCTGTCTCTCAAATGCCTGGATTAAAAGCATGTACCACCACATCTGGCATGGCATATGTTTGTCTATTTAAGTCTAGGTATCTTGCTGACGGTGGCACAATCTACAGAAAATCAGCATGGGCACTGTGCAAGGATCCATGAAGTGTTCCATATTTTGCTCTTCCCCAACCTAATGGTCACCTGCAAGGAAACCAAGGCACAATGCTACGAGTCTGCTGAGCCTTCCCACTATCCCCATGTCAGCTAAGGTCTGAGGTAATCCAAGCTGGCCTCGAACTTGCTACCTAATAAATGCTAGAACTTGAAACAAGCCAGACAAGCATGGCCTCGAACTTGCTACCCAGTCAAGGCTAGAACTTGAGAGGTGCCCAACAAGCACCCAATTGAGTCCCAGCTCACTCACTCTTCTCACCTCTCATGAGTTTGTTTTTTTTTTTTTTCTTAGTTTTTCGAGACAGGGTTTCTCTGTAGCTTTGGAGCCTGTCCTGGCACTAGCTCTGGTAGACCAGGCTGGCCTAGAACTCACAGAGATCCACCTGCCTCTGCCTCCCGAGTGCTGGGATTAAAGGCGTGCGCTACCACTGCCCGGCCTCTCATGAGTTTGGAACCTGAATGAGAAAATGTTTTTAGGGTTGTACCTGTGTGATTTAGTGTGAAATCTAAGGGTCTTTGTTCCTGATCCCGTCACAGGGGTCCCCAAAACTGCAGGAGTTTCCTGAGTAAAGGGAGGGTCTTTAGTTATTCGAACAATGGCCTTAATCACTAGGGAGTTTACGTTAAAGAAGAACTTCAGGGTGGGGCATCCATAGCCCAAGGGAAGGAATAGTTTGCAATGGGGCAGACAGATTTCTGGATTTGAGCCTTTCTATCAACTTCCTGGAAGGGGTGGCTTGGGACCCTTCAAAAATTTCTGAGCAGCACCATTTGAGTTTCAGCAGCTCGGGAGCTGTTGGAGGGCCGCAGCCCCAGGGGGACCATGGAAGCTTCCTGAGGCCTCACACTTCCAATGCCACTCTGTCCCTTCCTCCTGCTGAGTGTCTTCATCCTCCTTACTGTAAGTAAAGCCTGTGGACTTCCTAGCAAATTATTAAAATTAGTAGGAGCAGTGCCTTAGTAGAAAGTACTTTTTTGCCAGGCGGTGGTGGCCTTTAATCCCAGCACTTGGGTGGCAGAGGCAGGTGGATCTCTGTGAGTTCGAGGCCAGCCTGGTCTACAAGAGCTAGTTCCAGGACAGGAACCAAAAGCTACGGAGAAACCCTGTCTTGAAAAACCAACCAAACAAACAAACAAAGGTACTTTTTATTCCAGCATTCAGGAGGCAGAGACAGGGCAGTCTACGAGTTGGGAGGCTGGACTGAGAGAGTTCAGGCCAGGACTCAGTGAGTTCAGGACAGCCAGGGCTACACAGAGAAAGGCATTCTCAAACAACAAGGATGCAAAGGGCTTTTGCACGGTGAGCCACCTCACTGGCCCAAATTGTGGCGTAAGACAGAGATGTGGTGGCTCGAGCTGTAATCCCAGGAAGGAGGAGGCTGTGCCCGCAAGACTTCTGCAGATTCCAGACCAGTAGGAGTAGCTAGTTTCGGTGGAACCTGGGGTACAGAGTGAAGCCATCTCAAAATCAACTGCCACAGCTGTTGAGGTGGTTCAAAAAAACAAGGGCCCTTGTTTGTCAAGCCGAATGACCTGAGTTCCATTGCTGAAAGCCATGGGGTGGAGTTAGAAATGACAATCAACTGTCTTCTGACCTCCGTGCAGCTCATGCGCTTCCATCCACCAAATAAGAAGTAAACCAATGCAGACTCTTGCTTGAGTGTAAGACTTGCCACCTTGTTGACTTTTGACTTTTTATGAGAGAGGGTTTCTCTAGCTTGGGGCCTGTCCTGGAACTCGTTCTGTAGAGGAGGCTGGTCTCAAACTCATATCCGCCTGTCTCTGCCTCCTGAGTGCTGTGGTTAAAGGCTTGCACAACAACCACTCACCCCCACCCCCCACAGGAAAGTCTTTGTGAGGGTGCCAAATCCCCCGGGTGTTAGACAGTTGTGCCCCCCCCCCCCCCGACAGGGTTTCTCTGGCTTTGGAACCTGTCCTAGAACTAGCTCTTGTAGACCAGGCTGGCCTCAAACTCAGAGATGCTCCTGCCTCTGCCTCCCTGCCTCCCCAGTGCTGGGGTTAAAGGTGTGCAGCACCAGGCTGCAACCAATGCTCTTAATTGCTGAGCCATCCCTCCAGTCCCCCAGGGTAGAAATTTTTTTCAAATATAAACATTTTTAGAAAGCATGATTTATGACTGGGGTAGCGGCTTAGTGCAGAGAGAAGACTTGCTTAACATGCCAAACAATCCTGGAAACTGGAAAAGAGAAAAAAAAAAAAACAACAACAACCCACAGGCAAACTGAACAATGCAAATAGGATAGGAATTACTTAGAAGTAATACAGTGTAGCAAGTGGGGTAGCTGGATCAGGGAGAGCAAGGCCAGAGTTCGTCTCAGAGTTCTGGCCAGCCAGTACTACACAGTGAGACCCTGTCACAACAAAACAACCTCCAAAACAAAATGCAAGAACTTGTGCTAGGGATGCTATGCATTCGGCAGATTGCCTCTTAGTTCCTCAAAGCCAGGGGTAACTAATGAGTGTCCGGTCAACCATGTTTGCATAATGAAATCCTTTCTCAAATTGTGGGGAGAACATAGGAAATGTCACTTAGGTTCTTTTTTTCTCTCTCTCTTTTATTTTTTGGTTTTTTTTTGTTTGTTTGTGTTTTTCTCTCTTTTATTTTTGGTGAGACAGGGTTTCTCTGTAGTTTTAGAGCCTGTCCTGGAACTAGCTCTTGTAGACCAGGCTGGCCTTGAACTCACAGAGTTCCGCCCGCCTCTGCCTCCCTCGTGGTGGGATTAAAGGCCGTAGATGTGTGCCACCACTGGCCGGCAGTTTTTTATTTTTTGAGAGAAGGTCTTTAGTTGCACATTCTTATTTTTTAAACTACTGGTCCCTTGTGTCTTTGTACTTTGTACCTCGTCTCAATTTTGTATTTGCTACTTAGGGAAGGTTGTGTACCTGTAAACCCAGGTAGGTGCTAAATACTTTCAGGCTTGGCCAAAAGCACCGTTAGTTAACCAGGCCATCTCAAAGGTCAACCATACCAAAGCTGGTTTAGAGATCTGCCTGGGATTAAAAGTGTCTTTACCCTTATGGCAATTTTAAGCCAGGTATGGTGTCAGATCTCCCCCCCCCCCCCTTACCCCAGTCTTGGGAGTCCTGGAACTGTGGACCAGGCTGGTCTCACAGAGGTACCTGTCTCTGTTTCCCATGTGCAGGGATTAAAGCCCTAAGCCAACACCACCACCTGGCCAGCCTAGGTGGAACAAGGAGAGTCAGATCAAAGTAAAGTTCAAGGTTAGCCAAGATATCAGATTCATCTAAAAAATAAATTGACGAAACTCAGCAGTCTGGGAGGCAGAGGCAGAGTTTGGGGCCATCTTGATCTACCAGAGTTTCTGAAGAGCCAGGACTATTCATAGAGAAACTCAGTCTTTAAAAACCAAAATAAAGCTGGGCAGTGGTGCATGCTTTTAACCCAGCACTTGAGGCTAGCCTGATCTACAGAGCTAGTTACAGACAACTGGGGAGAAAACCTGTCTAGAAAAACAAACAAAAGAACTGGTGGCGCACGCCTTTAATTCCAGCACTTGGGAGGCAGAGGCAGGTGGATCTCTGAGGCCAGCCAGGTCTCCAAGGGCTAGTTCAAGGACAGGCTCCTAAGGTGCAGAAACCCTGTGTTGAAAAACCAATAAACAAAAAACAAAGAAAACAAAGCAAAAAAGGACCAACCTGCCCCCCCCTAACTTTAATGATTTGATTAGGGTAGGGTGTGATATTGACAGTTTAGGAATACTCAGAAAAAAACAACAGTCTAGATACATTTATAAAATACTCAAGCCAGCTGGGCGATGGTGGCGCACGCCTTTAATCTCAGCACTCGGGAGGCAGAGGCAGGAGGATCTCTGTGAGTTCGAGACCAGCCTGGTCTACAGAGCTAGTTCCAGGACAGGCTCCAAAGCCCTGTCTCGAAAAAAAAAATGCTCAAGCCAACATAAGGCAGGTGTGGGATGGAGGACATGGGCTAAGGAGATTTTTCTCCCTTCTACCCGACTGGAACCAGTGATCTTGGATTCAGTTGGAAGAAGTGGCTCCTGTGTCACGCTGGGATGTGTGTAGTTAACTCAGTTTTGTGGCAAAGCCTTAGCAGTTCCTCGTGGCCGAAATTTCCCTGACAGCACCTTCATATTTTCCGTCCCACAAAGTGGTTTTGATCACAATTAAAGTTCATGGTCAAATTACTAATAAGAACGATGTGGCTGACATCAAGTCAAGGTTTCTCATCCGTTTTTTCTTTGGAGTTAAGGTTTGTTTGACACCCTTTGGGCCGAGTTAAGGCTCCAGGATGCTACCTCACCTGGATGATCCTTCTGGCTTCTGAAAACATTCATTTTAGAGACCCCCCCCTTTTTTTTTTTTTTTTTTTTTTACTCCAGAGGGTCCCATCAGGAAATAGTGAGGCCCGGGGGATTCCAACACTCGCTCCTTTGACCTAAGAAAAGGGGGAGGGAGTGTGACCGGGATTTTGGGAAAGGGGAGGGAGTGACGAACCGAAGGAGGAAGGGTCGAGAGGAGTCCAGCTCCGGTTTGGGAAAATCCAGCTCGCGTTTTGCTTCTCGCTCAGCGGTGCAGGGTCCAGCCAAAGCTGAGCCCCAGCTACACTCCTTGAGGTCTGTCCTGGGGAGACTTCGCTACTCTGGGGGCTGACCTGGCCGGGAATAGCCGTGCATTCCGCTCCTAGCACCACTTTGTGCACGCTGCAACTGGAGTTTCAATTCCGGGGTCTGCACTCGCCTCTGGACACCCTCTCCACTCCTTAGTCATGCACCTCTACCTGCCTCTCCACCGCGGACATTGGGGGAGCAGCTGCCCACCCCGGGTGTTTGGGCCCTGACCGAGCCAGATGGTAAGTGTCCATCCAAGGCCCGCAATCCCTGGCACACGCCGGAGCCTAGACTCCGAAGTTGTGCGGACGGAGACCAACTGGAAAGTTTGCCCAAGGGCTAGTGCAGGCTGGGAGCAGGGGAGACCCGCGCTGTCCTAGGATCCAGAGGCCGCCTAGGGTGAGCTGGGGCGGCCGCAGAGGGCGTGGGTGCGGGGAGAGGGCGCTAAAACTCCGGCGGGACGGGAGTTTGGGGGGCGGATCTCTACCAGGCTGGGACTCCGCATCCATTGATGCCGGGTGATGACTCGTGGGCCAGCTCCTCGCCGCGACCTCCTACCCCGGGCCGCCCGGGTGTTTTGTGGCGGGTAGCTAACAATGCCCCCGGCGGGGGACCTCCAGCGCTCCCCAGAAGCTTAGCCGCGGTTCCAGCGGGTTCTCATGGGGATTCCCCCCCAGTTTCGGAATCAGCCAGAAATCTTGTAGAGGAAGCGCAACTTTGGCCTCCGGGAGGTCCCCGAACTGGTGTTCTCAGAGCCAGGCACTTTGAGAAAGTCCGGGTGTCTCAGCCCGCGGGGAGGCGAGAGTTCTCCCCAAGTAGGGACGTGTACGAGCTGTCGCGTGCAGAAGTGTCCCGCGTTCGAGAGCGCTCCCCTTCCGCGGAGGGCGGCGGTGGGAAACGCTAGGGACTGGGGACTGTGCAGGGGCGCCACTGTGGGAGTGCAAGGGACCACAAGGTTCGGTGAAGGTTGGCGGGGAGACGGGAGGGTGAGAAGTATGTACTGGGGTGGGAGAGTGTGTTGCCGGGAGTTCCGCAGGGTCTGGGGTCCTGGAGAGGGAACCGAGGGTGTAATGGCAGGGAGTGAGTGCCAAAGACAGGTTCGTGCTGCACGTGAGCTTCGGGTCCTGCCCCCTGGGCTGTGGGACCACCGCCTACTCCGCGGGGTAGGGAAGAAAATCTCCGATTCTCCTGGGTGGTGTTCACGCCTTTGATCTCTGCACTTGAGAGCGGAAGGCAAGCGGATCCCCCTGAATTTCAGGTCAGCCAGGTCTATGAGTTCTAGGCAAACCTGAGCTATATAGTGGACCCAGTTTCAAACAAACGATAAGGCAACTAAGCTCACCTCCAGGGTTTCCCCACAGATACACTGGACCAAGTCAGGAAAGAACCGTCCCAGCTCTTGTGAACTGGGAGGCCATTTCTGACTCAATAAAAGTTAAATGTGTCTCTGAGAAGCCTTAATGCAGAAGACAGATAATGCTGAATGCCGGAATAAGGATTCCCAGCACTGGAATAACCCCACCACCTACTCATTCTAGCGCTCTCAACCATTCCATCCAAGTGAACCAACTAACCTGAGCGCTTTGTCACTTAAGCCTCTCGCTATAGCCCCTCCCCCTAGGCTTTAAGTTAGTTACATTTCTTCAATTCCTTGATGACAGGTTAGTAAAGAAATGTTTGCAGCTGAGCGCTCACCGGAGGGATGGGGGCGCCGGAGAGCAGCCCCCCCCCCCCAACAATGGCTTCAGTTTCTTTCTTTTTTTTTTTCCGAGACAGGGTTTCTCTGTGGCTTTGGAGCCTGTCCTGGAACTAGCTCTGTAGACCAGGCTGGTCTCGAACTCACAGAGATCCTCCTGCCTCTGCCTCCCGAGTGCTGAGATTAAAGGCATGCGCCACCATCGCCCGGCTTGGCTTTAGTTCCTTTAGGGCCAAAACAGTTTGGAAAGGATGCCTAACCTGATAGAGAGCAAGAATTGTAACTAATTAAGCGGCCTCATAAAGTTTAATGTTGGTAGATCAGCCAATATTATTTAATTAAAACATACTCAGATGATAGACATTGTGGTTTCCTAGGTTATGGTGTCGGTTTTAAAGAATTTATTCGAGAGACAGTTTCACTCCAGGCTGGCTTGAACCTTACTGGCAGAAGCTGGCCTCGAACCTGCGACTTTAGCCTCTTGACTCTTGGGACCGCAGACCCATCCACCTGGTGTCTGTCCTGGATTTCAGCCTGCTGCTGTGCCCACCCCCCCACCTCAACCTCCCAGGGATACAGCTGCCTCACTTGTCCTCCTGCGGTGCTGACCGACTTCAGATTTTCCCCCAATTAAACGTTTTTAATTAGGGTCTTATTTTCTGTTTTAATTATAATTTCAATCTTAACGCATTTGGAGGAATAGGATAGAGTCTTTGCAGACTAGTAGGCTAGACTTCAAATTTTAATGAGTTAACTATTGCTCTCAGGCCTGCTTCCCCAGAAGGGGTGGGTCAGAGGTTTGGAGACAACCTCTTTCCCCTTTGTCTCCCTTCCTTCTGCAATCTTCCTTATCTAGTTTGTTTGCCCTCCCCCACCCTGGACACATCCTTCCTGTCTCCTTCATTTCTTCTCCCTTGTCTTTTTTTTTTTTTATTTAAACCTGTAGGCCATTTGAATCTCCTTGTCTCCCCCACTCTACCTCTGGTTCTCTTCTGCGAACTTCTCACATCATTCCTGTGAATTCTTGGCCTTGCTCAGGCATTTGGATCTCTTCTCTTTCTTTGGTAATTCGAGACAGGGTTTCTCTGTGTAGCCCTGACTACCCTTGAACTCACTCACTCCGCAGATGAGGCTGGCCTCTAACTCACAGAGATTCTCCTGCTTCTGCCGCCTGAGTGCTGGGACTAAAAGGCCTGTGCAATGACCACCCAGATACTTTTTTAGTTTTCTATTACTTCATCTTTTATCATAAAACACTGATCCTTGGTTTTTACTCACCATCTTTCTTGCTTTTGCATGGGTCTTTCTACCTCCATTTTCCCCCCCTTCCCTTTTGGCTCTATTTGCCTCCGTGGGGTGTCAGGGTGTTTTACATATGGAAAGAGGCTGCATCTGCTGGCTTTCTGCTGCTTCCCCTGAGCAGCCTGTCGAGTGCCCCGTGCTTTCAGATTTCCTGTGGCAGCGAACTGTCTGGGAACAGTCGGCAAACACTGGCCCCTCCTTCCTTTCTACGTAGAATTTAGTTGTGGGGAAAACCCCGAGCTCAGTGGCAACTTTTTTTTTTAAAAAAAAATGTTTTAAGTCTTTCATTCTATTTTGGGCGAGCGAAGGTGCCTTTAAGTTCTAGGACAGAAATCAGTTTGCAAGTAGCCCTAGGCATGCAAATAATGCTTTGGACCACTGCTGGTAGCAGGAAGGACTGCAGTGTAATTAATTTCAAATTGACATCTGGGCTCAGTGGTTACATCCGTGCTGCAGCCACTGCCTGCCCAGGGGACTTCCAGAGAATCTGAAAGAGGAGGGATGGACATTGAGAGGAGATTCTTTTCTTGATTCAGAAGGGGTTTCTCTGTGTAACAGTCCTGACGGTCCTGGAACAAGCTCTGTAGATCAGGCTGGTCACAGAGAACCACCTGTGTCTGCCTCCCAAGTGTTGGGATTAAAGGTGTGCACCACCACTGCCCCCAAAATACTTTTATTAAAAAAAATAGTTAAATACTGTTATTTTTAAAAAGTATTGAAAAATCTAAATATTGAGGCACTCTTTTGTTTTGTATTTTGAGGCAGTGTTTCTCTAGCAGCTGTGACTGTCCTAGAACTAGCTCTTGTAGACCAGGCTGGCCTGTCGAGGCCACGTTTTAAACATTTAATCTATTGACTAATTAGACTAGATAAGTTTATATCATGGTGGTACATACCCACAATCCCAGCACTTGAGTGAGGTTTTGAGAAGGATTTTAAGTTCTTGACCGAATTTGCGAGACCCTGTGCTGGGTGGGAAGACCAGGCTGGGCATAGCATGTTCCAGGTCTTGAATTCTACCCCAGACCCCATGTTTCATGTCTCAGATATGTTGGTTGGTGGCTGTCCTGGAACTCCCTCTGTAGACCAGGTTAGTCATCAAACTCAGAGATCCACCTGCCTCTGAGTACTAAGGTTAAAGATGAGTACCACCACCCCCCAGGCTTTTTTTTTTTTTTTTTAATGTGCATTAGTATTTGCCATGGGTGACGGGTCCCCTCAAACTGGAGTTATAGTTGTGAGCTGCCATGTAGTTGCTGGGAATTGAACCCAGGTCCTCTTGAAGAACAGCCTGTCAGGGCCATTTCTCCAGCCCAAGGCTGGTTTCCTCCCAGGACAATTGGAACTTTTGTCCTATATTAATTGTATTAATTACACACATGTTTCTCCCTGGGCCTGCTCTGTATTTTTTTTCCTTTTTTTAAAATATTTATTTATTTAGTATACAATATTCTGTCTGTATGTCTGTAGGCCAGAAGAGGGCACCAGACCTCATTACAGATGGTTGTGAGCCACCATGTGGTTGCTGGGAATTGAACTCAGGACCTTTGGAAGAGCAGGCAATGCTCTTAACCTCTGAGCCATCTCTCCAGCCCCTGCTCTGTATTTTTATTAAAGGTGGTACCGAGTGTATTTTCTTAGACATCACTATATTGCATTGATATACTTGGATAAATCTGGAGGGTAGGATAAAACATTCAGAAATACCGAAACTTCTTTTAAGGATTAAACCTAGGCCTTTGGACAAAGGCAAAGAGCTTACACTGAGCTGTGTTCCTAACTCCTTTTCCTTTCACTGTGAGGGTTGGACAGGCCAGTGGAGCTCACTCTGGGCCATGGATTTTCTAATCTGCTTACCCACTCAAGTAGTGGATTACAAAGCCGGGCAGTGGTGGCGCATGCCTTTAATCCCAGCACTTGGGAGGCAGAGGCAGGCGGATCTCTGTGAGTTCGAGACCAGCCTGGTCTACAGAGCTAGTTCCAGGACAGGCTCCAAAGCCACAGAGAAACCCTGTCTCAGAAAAAAAAAAAAAGTAGTGGATTACAGGCCTATACTACCCAACCCGAATGATACTCAGTATCCTTTATTTTGTGTCTGAGGACTCTGCACATTTGTCTGCATCCCAGAGAGGACATCAGGTGTTTGTAGTGATCCACCATGTGGTTGCTAGGAGTTGAACTCAGGACCTTTGATCTTTCTTAACCACTGACCCATCTCTCCAGGCCCTGAAAATAACTCACCCCAAGTATCTGAAGATACCCTTTTTTTTTTTTTTTTTTTNTCCCTTTTTTTTTTTTTTTTTGGTTTTTCGAGACAGGGTTTCTCTGCGGCTTTGGAGCCTGTCCTGGAACTAGCTCTGTAGACCAGGCTGGTCTCTGGGAATAAAGGCGTGCGCCACCACCGCCCGGCTAATATTTAACTTTTTTGTGTGTAGTTGGTATGAAGGTGCCAGAGCCCCTGGAACTGAAGGTAGACAGTTTTGAACTGCCTTGTGGGTGCTGGAGGATTGAACCCAGGTCCTGTGGGAGAGCAGCCAGTGCTCTTAACTGCTGAGCCATCTCTCCAACTCCGGATTTTTTTTTTTTTTTTTTTTTTTTTGGCGATAAAGCTTGAACAGTAATTTAACTATGCTCTGAGTTTCTTAAGCACGTCAATTAAAAATAGCATTGTAAGCAGCTTCCAAAAGCAGATCTGGGACACCCTCTGGAGTACCCCGACTGCTGGCCCACATAAGATGAGTTTGAATTTTCTTTTCAGCACCTAGATTATATGCTTCTGTGTTTCTCAGTCCTGCTGTCTTGATGGGAGATTAAAAACTGTACCTTGACCCTGCTAAATTTGAGACTGGAATGGATGTCATTTCATAATGGAAACAGTTCTTAGGACAATTCTTGGCTCACATTGTGTCTGAGAATCTGTGCACGTAAGAGTACGGGTGTCCTCAGATCAAGGAGGTGTTGTAACTCTGGAGTTATAGCGCCCCCTATGTGTGTAGGCGCGCAGGTGACCTGCAGGATAAGCACATTGGAAAGATCACTCGGCTCCCTATGGTAGCACACGCAGGCAAACAGTCATGCACATAAAATTTCAGTAAATTATTTTTTTTAAAGAACAAATGCCAGAGCACACCTTTAATTCCTAGCATGAGGGAGGCGGATGCAGGCCGATCTGAGTTAGAGGCTGGCATGGTATAAAGGACAGATGAGGGTTTATTTTTTGTCTCGAAAAAAATAAAACAAAATATATGAGTGTTTGTCCTCCTTATGTACATCAAGTGACTGCACCCAGATGCCAGAAGATGGCATGAGATGCCCTGGGACTGAAATCACACAGTTGTGAGCTGCAATGTGGGCCCTGGAAATTGAGCCCAGGTCCTGAGCAAGCCATCCTAGCTCTTTTTTTTTTTTTGGACAAGATCTCATGTCATCCAGACTGGACTCATTCACTGTTGCTGTGAATGGTCTCTGGTTATCCTGCTGTGCCTCAATTTCTGGTATTGCTGGCGGGAGCCACTGAAACAGCTTTTTGACTTAGTACCCAGGATATCCCACAACTCCCAAATGCTGGGAATAGAAATTTGAGCCCTTCTGCCCAGTTAAATCTATCTGTATACTCTTTGACGGTACACATTCTATTGCTTAATTTTAGCGAATATCTTTCTAGTTGAGTACAAAGGACTAATAACAATGTTTTTGTTTATTTTAGACCAAAAACCTCACGTGACTGGACGTGGCAACGGCCCAGTTTCTCCTCAGAAGGAAGGCTTCCACAAAGGACCAATGATTCTGGGCCCTGCATCCTTGCATTGCTTCCCATTCTACAGCCATGTCTCGGTCCCGCCATGCAAAGCCTTCCAAAGCAGTCAGGACAGGTCTACAGAAGAAGAAAACGACATTAAAGCAGGGTGTCAAACATGGGGAGTCAGGGAAGCTGGACCCTGGAAAGCTGAACCAAGTAACTCAAAGAGATGGTAAGAAAGAACCAGAAGACAAAAGCCCCACACCACCCAGAAGCCTTCTGACCAGAGCTGGGGCAGCCAGAATGAATCAGGATAGGACCCAAGTTGAGAGTCCAGAGTCCTTAGCTGCCAGTGGGTTTACAATGGCTCTACGAAGAAGCTCTCTGATCAGGCGACTCTCCCAGAGCCCGGTCGTTACACCCAGACCGAAGAAAGTGTCACCTGCTAAGAGTGTTTCCAAGCAGCAGTGTCCTCGCGATACCCAGGATGATGAGACCCAGGATGACGTGGTGGCAGAGCACTCGGAAAATGATTGCATCCCCAGCCAAGACCCCACCGCGTCCCCGGATCCAGAGAACCTAATTGGTGAAGAGAGCTTGTGTTTAGTTGAAGGTGAGATCCAAGAGATAACCCAGTCTTGGCCTCAAACAATAGAAGGTTCCCAAAGCTGTCCTGCAACAGATATTCCTTCTGGGCCACTGGAAGGGACACACTGTGAAGGACTACTCGCTCTTCAGACATCAGATGTCAGCACATCCCCTCAGGAGTGTGCGCCTTTGTCCCAAAGATCAGCACCAGAAGTCACCTCTCAGAAAAACACTAGCAATCAGTTTGAAGACTTGGGGTCACAAGTAAACTCTCTTAAGCTATCAGATCCTCCCCTGAATCCTGTGGGAAATGAATCTAATTGCTTTCCCACCTCCAGTTTTAAGATTCTACCTGAATTGGACCTTAAAAACTGCATGTCTCTTGATGGGTCTGTGTATCCCACAGCTCTGATAAGATTCCTCTTGGCAGGCTCACAGCCAGATACACTTGGTGCTAAACTCCAAGAAGAAACTGGCAAAACTAACCCTGACCAAGGTGGATGCTATACAGATCAATATATATTTGGTGCTAAACCCCAAGAGGGACTACTCAAAACTAACCCAGAGCAAGATGTTTTTGGTGCTAAACCCCAAGAAGGAATCCTCAAAACTAACCCAGATCGAGGTGGGTGCTATCCAGATCAAAATACGTTTGGTGCTAAACCCCAAGAAGGAACCCTCATAACTAACCCAGATCAAGATATGCTTGGTGCTAAACCCCAAGAAGGAACCCTCATAACTAACCCAGATCAAGATATGCTTGGTGCTAAACCCCAAGAAGGAACCCTCATACCTAACCCAGATCAAGATGGTTGCTACCCATACCAATTTCTGGATGGCATTTCTGCCCTAGGACAAGCTTTCGGTGCTCTCCCACCTCAGTGGGTATTTCCTGGTGCTAACTTAGTTCCTGGTGAGGCCCTGGGCAAGGTTTCAGGCCTACCAGAGGATCTTGGTGCTATAACTATGCTAACCCAACAAGGAACTATGAATATGAATATGGCTGCTCCCCCAGATCTGCCTGTCTTCCTTCCAAACCCTATAGTCCCATTGGCTACCTACAGTACTCCTCCCGGGCCTGAGCCCCACAGCTTTGCCTCCTGTGGGCTTGAGGTCCAAGGTGCTATCCCTTTAACTTTGGACTCAGGACATGCTCCAGCAAACTCCGAGATGAGTTCAATACCTCCAGCAGTAGCTGCAACCAGTGTACAAGATGAGAAGCAGTTTTGTGAAAACCCTTCTCCAGTGAACAGGCAAGGGTTTACCACTGACCCTGAGAGTGGACTCCAGCATGCTCCCCTGGATCTTACCCAGGGCCCTCAGGCTACCTCCAGCAAAGTGGAAGGGGGGATTTCTCAGGTCAACACGGCCAGCTCCACTGATGGCAAAGCCACTGGGATGTCTATGCCAGTGTCACAGGCCAGTACCTCTTCTTCACAAAAATCCACACTGCCAACGGTGGAGAGGAAGAAACGCAAGCCGTGCGGGGTCTGTGAGCCCTGCCAACAGAAGACCAACTGCGGTGAGTGTACCTACTGCATGAACAGAAGGAACAGCCACCAGATCTGCAAGAAGAGGAAATGCGAGGTGCTCAAAAAGAAGCCGGATGCCACTTCTTTGGTACAGGTGAGGGAGTAGCCATGTGGGTGGATGTAATCTTTAGGGTTTGGAGACCCCGCCCCCCCCATAAAATGTTCATCTCCATAAATATCTCCAAGAATTTGTGAATGATGTCTTGTGGAGGAGTGATGCTGGGAATTGAACTTAGGGCTTCCAGCAAGCTCGGCCTTTTATCTTGATTGGTATAGTCAAGGTTGCGTGTAGCTAGGCTAGGATTACCATAGTCTCCAGCCTTGTATGAGGTGGCTCAGGACAGCCTGACACCCGTGCTTCAGGTCCTGAGCCCTGCACCTGCATGAATGTCTCAGGAAGGCAATGTACATGCCATGCCCCTTTCCCCTCAGTCTCCCAGTCTGATTACTTGAGTTTGCAACCTGGGACCTGCTGAGTGGAACCAACTGCCAAATCCATCATGTATGTGGCAGTCATGGGTCCACATGCAATGAAGGGTACAGTAAATTGGAGGCCAACCTGGGCTGTGCTGTGATCCCACCCCCCAAAAAAAGGTATTGTGTGAATTTTTAATTGCTTTAGTATTTTAACTTAGTTGAGATGGGCGGGGTATCTCTGTATAACAGCTCTGACTTGTCCTGGAACTCCATTTATAGACTAGGCTGGCCTTGAACTGAGATCTACCTGAATTCAGTTGCAGCACCGCCACGCCTAGCTGAGAATTTTTTTAAATTTATTAAAGATTTCTGCCTCTTCCCCACCGCCACCTCCCCTTTCCCTCCCCCCCCAATCAAGTCCCCCTCCCTCGTCAGCCCAAAGAGCAATCAGGGTTCTCTGCCCTGTGGGAAGTCCAAGGACCACCCTCCTCCATCCAGGTCTAGTAAGGTGAGCATCCAAACTGCCTAGGCTCCCACAAAGCCAATACGTGCAGTAGGATCAAAAACCCATTGCCATTGTTCTTGAGGTCTCAGTAGTCCTCATTGTCCGATATGTTCAGTGAGACCTGTTTTAACCCAGGCTTTTTTTCAGAACCAGGCCAGCTGGCCTTGGTGAGTTCCCTATAGAACATCCCCATTGTTTCAGTGTGTGGGTGCACCCCTCGCGGTCCTGAGTTCCTTGCTCGTGCTCGCTCTCCTTCTGCTCCTGATTTGGACCTTGAGATTTCAGTCCGGTGCTCCAATGTGGGTCTCTGTCTCTGCGAGAATTTTTGTTTTATGTATGTATGTATGTATGTATGTATGTATGTACTGAGACAGAATTAATTGTACTAGCTGAACTCCTGTACTTTTATTATATCAGATGTGCCAGTAGCTTGTTAGTATTATTTAATCTGAGCGATTGAATACGTATCATAGCTGTTAGCATGCTAAATATGGATTCTTCCAATGATTGATGTACCCAAATCCCCCCCCCAAGTCCCCTCTATTTGAGATTATCTCGAAATTAACTAGTACCTGAAGCCAGTGTATTTCTTGCACTGTCTGCACTCTGCGGCACCAAGTCCCAGGGGAGTCGCTTTTAGTGGAGAACTGAAGCTGAGCACCACTACCTTGATGATAGACATTAGACATTAGGAAGTTCTGGGGACCAAAGAGGGACAGATCAGTGGTTAATGTGCTTGCCTTCAGGTCTGACAACTTAGAGGTAGAGAACGGAGGTCCTGCGCTCGGCATTTGCACCATGATTTTTTTTTCCTTTCTCGCCATGATTTTTTTTTCCTTTTGCAACAGTGTTTCCATGTGTTACCTTGGCAGCCCTAAAATTCAGACCCACCTGCCTCCGCCTCCCAAGTGCTGGAATTAAAAGTGTGGGCCACAGCACTGGGCTCTAGTAAATGTAAAATTAAAGAAGTTATTTTGAGACAAGAGCTGGCCTCGAAGTTACAATGTAGCTAAAACCACCCTTTCTTTAATTGCTGATCTTCCTACCTCAGATTCCCAAGTGCTGGGATAGGTCATGCCCCTTGGCTTTGTTTTAGGAGACAATGTATCACTAGGCTGTACTGGTTGGCCACTAATAGCATTCCCCTTGCCTCAAGATCTGACCAGATGTGGTGGGCACACCTTTTAAACCCAACACTTCCAAGGCAGAGGCAATTCTAGAACAGCCAGGGCTACACAGAAACGCCCCGTGTTGGAAAACCAGGAAGAAGATAACAACTAGTCCAATAAGCAGTGTTCCTCCTCCAGGACCTCTGTTTTAGTTCTTTCCTTGATGCTTTAAGGATGGGTGGTGATTGGAGCATTGCAAGCCCAAACCCTTTCTTTCCTCCCCTAGTCGGTTTTGGTCAGCATTTGGCCAGGCTAGCCAAATGGGTGAACTCCTAGTTCACTGAGACCCTGTTTCAAAAAACAAGGTCTGGCTCCTGAGGAGCAGATTAGGTTGACATGACCTCTGGCCTCCATGCATGCTCACATTCACATACAGTAACTGGTCCTCAGGGGCAGCCAGAGCTCACCAGTTCTTCCTGTCTGTGCAGAAGAATTTTTTTCCCGTGTCAGAGTGCCGTAAATAAGCTGGTTTGTACCCTTGTGAAACAATTCTTGGTTTCCGTTGAGATAGCCATGACACAGCCATGTTCTTGTCCCCCTGTATTAAGAGGCTTTTGGCCTCGCCATTTATCTATTTACACTTTACAGCTTGTTTTTATATCATTTTATATGTGAACCTATTTTGTGATCAAATTTTCTGTTAAAGAGCAATGGTGAGGTCAAGACAGGAGGTGATGGGAGGTTGGGACAGGGCAAGGCTACAGCTGTGCCAAGCCATGGGATGTTGCTAGCTTGCCTATAGGAGAAACACAGCAAAATGTCTGCCTTTGTATGTGAATCTCTTAGGTAATTTGCAAGTTTTTTTTAACCAAGTGCCAGAAATTAAGACCATTTACAAAACACTTGCTTATTTTCTGCATACAAGTGTGGGTGCCAATAATGGAAGCCAGGTCCTCTCTGCAAGTGGAGCAGGTGCTCCGAAATGTCGAGCCAACTCTAGCTCCTTAAATTCAATTTAAAAGAAAAAAAAATTATTTTTACTTTATGTGCATCGATGTTTTCTGCATATGTCTGAAAGTGTCAGGTCTCCCAGAACGGAACTGCCATGTGGATGCTGGGAATTGAACCTGGGTTCCCTGGAAGAATAGCCAGTACTCTTAACCACCAAACCATCTCTCTAGCCCCTTTTTAAATTTTATTTTTGACAGTTTCTCTGTGAAACCCTGGCCTGAGAACTCAATTGGTTACATGTTGTCCTTTTGCCACAACATCAATATTCCATATTGAATTCAATTGACTTCTCAGGCATAGGCTTTTGTCTGCATTTATACAATACCAGGCTGGCCTCCACCTAGCTGCAACTGCCTCTGCTTCCCAAGAGCCACACCGCCAACGTGTAGGAAGCACCAACGTGTAGGAAGCGGAGGCTGGAGTTCCCTAGCCTGGGTTATAGGAGTCCCTGCCAAGTCAAGGAAGAACAAAAATGAACCCATACCTGGACTATGTCTTCATTACTAGCTATGAGTACAACTTTTAGATCTCAGCTGCAGCACTCTAACCTGGAAAAGGGATGGGGGGGGGGCAAACTACATGTTAAGGTCACTTTGGGTCAAATGCAGGTTCAAGACAGGGTCTGAAAGAGCCTAGGCTGAGGGCCACGAACTTCTTGGTAGTAAGTGTCTGGCATTTTTTTCGGGGGGGAAAGACCTGAAACCAACAAATACTAACAAATACTAAATACAGCTAAATACTTACAGAAGAGATTTATTTATGAAGGGTTCACAGGATAGACAAGGACAGTTTTAATTTCTTAGTCTGGTTAACAAATGAGAATTTTTTTCAAGACAGGGTTTCTCTGTGTAACCATTCTGGCTATCCTGGAATTCACTTTGTAGACCAGGCTGACCTCGAACTCACAGAGATCTGTCTGCCTCTGACTCTCCAGTGGTGGAATTAAAGGCTTGCACCACCATCACCTGGCCCATTTTTGTTTTTGTTTTGTTTGCTTCCCAAGTGCTGGGATTAAGGGCCATCACTGGCCTTCAAAAGAAAAAAAGTGTGCCTGTGTGGGAAAGAACAGACAGACAGACAGACAGACAGACATTGAACATGAACCTGGCAGAGGTTCCATTTAGATATTGGGTACCATACAGATATTGGTTGAATTCTGTGATCACAGTATGGAACTGTACGTATATAGTAACATTGGTATCTTCGTTTGATCTTTTTGTATTCATTATTTTGTTCACTTGGAAAAGGGTATCACTGTATCCTTGCCTGACTGGCCGCTTGCTTCCATCTTCTGGGATGACAGGTGTGTCCTGTCCAGCCAAGGCAACATTGGTCTTGAAACGGGTTAGTTTGCGCATTGAGTGTTGGGTCTTTCCAGTGTTGCCTTAACTCTTGACACACAAGCTGTCCTGCCAGGCGTTCTGCCTCCAGCTATTGAAGTAATGTGGGGGCTCCAAGAGGCCAGATGACTTGCCTGAGGCTGTAATTGATGGGGAATCAGGATGTGGCGTGGGAGGTCTGTTCAGCTCTTTGAGCCTGCAGATAAGCGGAATTTGAGGGCTGGAGGGGCAGAACCCAGCCACAGCCTGGTTGCTGGAAGGAGATGTGTTGGAATCCTAAATTCCTTTTCAGATATGTCTTCCTCGCTATTCCTTAGAATTGGCTGTCCAACAAGTCCAAGGGATCCTCGTAATGTCTGCCACCCCAGTGCCAAGATTACAGCCACCCGCTTTCTTTAAAAATCCTATATGGGGTGGGGCGGTGCTCAGGGTTCACTCTGGAGCCTTCAGCAGACTAAATGGACTTTCTTCATCACCAGACCTCAGCAGTTTGCCCCCTCCTCTCCCTTTTTTTGACAGGGTTTCTCAGTGTTGAAGCCTTGGCTGTCATGGAACTTGCTCTGTAGACCAGGCTAGCCTCTAACTTGAGAGATTCACCTGCCTCTGCTTCCCGAGTGCTGGAGTTAAAAGACATGTGCCACCCACACCCAGCACCTCAACAGGTTTTTTGTCTTTTTTGAACCCTTTAGCTCCTGACACCTGCAGGCTATCCCTAAAGGGATAATGCAAAATGCTAAACATCACCCTTCCGGATGTCCAGAAATGGAGCAAGGAGTAAGCATGTCAAAGGCCTTTTTTTCAAAACTGAAACCATTCAGCTGAGTAGCCCTGACTGACAACTAGCCTCAGGTTCATGAGTGCTTTTATTTCCATATATATTACTCGTGTGTGTGTGTGTGTGTGTGTGTGTGTGTGTGTGTATGTATGTATGTATGTGTAGATCACGTGTGTTTGGGTGCCTGGAGGCCAGAAAAGAAGGAGAGGCCAGATCCTCTGTAGCTGAGCAATAGATTGAGAGCAGTCTAGAGTAGGTGATACAGCGAACCAAACTCAGGTCCAAGTGCAGCAAACCTTCGCTCCAGCCGCTTATTTTAAGGACTTGAACCATATAGCATTTCTAGACCTGGGGTAAGAATGGCAAGCTAGTTTCAGTGTCTGTGATTGAGTTTGGGACCTTCGGGGGCTGTGTGAAGCCATAAAGGGAGGAAGTGGCTAGACTGTAGAGAGGACTGCCAAGGTTTTCCTAGAACCACAGTAAGTGGACAAACTGAACTGTAGTCCTGGTCTATTGCTTTGTGTGTGTGTGCGCGCATGGACACGCTCACAATGCTTATAGAGGTCAGAACAACTTGTGGACGTGGTGCAGGTGGATCCTAGGTGCTAGGTAACTCAGGTCCACGGGCTTGGTGGTATGTGACCCTCCACACTGAGCCATCTCAGTGACCCAAGCCTGACCCAAGCAAGCTTTTTTTTTTTTAAAAAAATATTTATTTATTATGTATACATTATTCTGTCTGTGTATGCCTGCAGGCCAGAAGAGGGCACCAGACCCTATTACAGATGGTTGTGAGCCACCATGTGGTTGCTGGGAATTGAACTCAGGACCTTTGGAAGAGCAGGCAATGCTCTTAACCTCTGAGCCATCTCCAGCCCCCCAAGCAAGTTTTATTGATATAGATTCTAGGTTTTCTTCTTTCTTCTGGAGAGCAGCCTTGCACTCCTGATCCCCACTGCCTTTACCTCTCAAGTGCTGGAATCACAAGGGTGCAGCACCGCGCCTGGCTTCTACCTACAGATTCTACAGGAGCCACTTGATTTGGGGGTGCTTCTCTGAAATCTTTGTATGCGAATGTGCCATGGGATTCATGTGGAAGTCAAGATAAATTCGTGCCATCTGGCTTGGCAGCAAGATGGCCATGGAGCCGTCTCCCTATCCTGGAATGGGTCTCAGTTACATGCACACATGTAACTGCCTGTGTGCATGCCTGCCTCTGTGTGTGTACAGGTGAGTGCAGAGTTAGATCGGAAGCCACCTGGCATGGGTACTGGGAACTGAGCCCATACCCTGTAAAGAACACGCACTCCCTAAACACGTCTCTTTCCCCTGAACCTTTACTGAACCTTTGAATACCTTTATTGATTGCTGATTTAACCTATTAAACTTCCAGCTCTGAACTGAGCTGCACATCTTCAAGGGGCTGGCACTGGAACAGACTGCTATGGGATTGGACAACCTGCATCCTCATCCTGCCCCAGTGGTACTGGGAGTGGACTTCGTGTAGCCCTGGGCACTTGCATGAACTACTTATTTGGCTCAGATGAACTTTGCCTTCATTAACTAATTTTTCAGAACAGGTACTGGGATAGCTTTCTTTGAGGTTTTGATTTTTTTGAAACAGGGTTTCTCTGTAGCTTTGTAGCCTGTCCTGGAACCAGCTCTGTAGACCAGGCTGGCCTCGAACTCAGAGATCTGTCTGCCTCTGTCTGGAATTAAAGGCATGCACCACCACCACCTGGCCCATTTTTGTTTTTGTTTTGTTTGCTTTTTGTTTTTTTTTTAGGCAATCTTGTTATATAAAGCTGTGGCTGGCCAGGTATTTGCTACCTTCCAGGCTAACCCTGGAATTCAGTGTAGTGCTTCTACCTCAGTTTCCCCTGGGTGCTTCAATTGCAGACTTGTGGACGTGATTTTTTACTTGAGGGTTTAAAAGCTCCAGAACGGTAGAGGCAGTCAAAAGTGCGGTCACCTTGTCTAGCTCCTTTTAATCTGAGAATTAAAAACTTTTTGGGTGGCTGGGCATTTTTGGGAATGGTGAGAGTGAGAAATCTGGGAACGGGGGAGTATGGCTCATTAGAACATTTCCTTAAAACACATAAGTCCCTGGGTTCAAGCCACAGTACTAATAAATAACTAAATAAATGGGAAATCAATGTACGCCGAACGAGGAAAGTGTGCTTTCGTGGCAGCCTCTGAGCCTCGGGAGGGAGGGTGACGGAACGCAGGCCTTCCGGCCCGCACTCAGTTCCGAGTTTCTGGTTGTGGGAATCTGTTCCGAATCCAACTGCAAGTGGAAAACCCATTTTTGGCCTCGCAAGCAGGAAAGCCGTCCTGCCAATCCTGCAAATGTACTGCAGAAACTTTGGCCCCAGGAGGCAGGAGCATGGGCTTGCTTCCCAAGATCTGTGCAGCTGTCAAGGTGGCTGGGGATGGGACTGGGATCTGTCACTGTGCAGCTTTTTGGCAATGACCTTGGGACCAGCCCAGCTTGACACAGCCACTCTGGTCCTCTGCCACTAGAGTCTTTGCGGCTGTTTGCAGAAGTGCAAGGGGGCTAGCTGGAGAGAGGCTGCTCTTCTTGGTCCTGCCTTTTCTGGTGTCTGGCAGGTGTCATGTGGTGCCAGCTCCTGATGGCTACCACCCACTGAGCATGGGTGAAGTCCAGGTGTGTGTCTGTCTGTCGGGTTGCAGAGGGCTGAGGTGGCATGTTCACCCCTGGGTGGTTTGACTATTAAAAGGTGGTGTGCAGGCAGGCTTGGTTGCATGCGAGGGTGGAGAGGAGCCAGAAACACCCCTTTCCCCCAAAGCTTCGGGTTGGAGTCTGCCGCGGATTTCTTGGCACTGAAGGTCACCAGTTTACACTCAGCCTCTAGGCACTCTAGTCACGGAGTGGCAAGTGTATTTTGAAAAAACGCCACCCTCCTCTCCATCCATCCAGTCCTGTTTCTCTTCTGAGTGCCTGATTGCTATTTATTTTTTTTTAGTCCGACTTTATCGTTGGACATTTATTGACAGAAATCAAATCGTTATCTGGGCCAAGCGCCCCGCTCCACCGCCGGCTCCACCGAGGTGTGGTTCCCAGGAATGAGACAGGCAGCCCCACTACAGCTGAGCCTGTGCTGTCCTCACGTAACCTCCCTTCCTTCAATATCGCCAATATTTAGTCTTGCCTTATAAAGTCAAAATGCACAATACCTTCCCGGATTGCTGTGAGCTCCGATGCCCCCTTAGGCTCAGGGCTATCTCCTGCCGGGTGGTACAGAGCAGCGCGCCCCTCCCTGCACCAACCTGCCCTGGTGCCACCCAGAGGTTCCTGCTCAGGGAGACTCCGCCATCGATCCGATGGTGGCGACCTGGGGGATTTGCGAACATTGTCTCTTGCAGAAGCCTCCTGTGATTTCGGTGGCGGCGACCAGATCCTCTGTAGAGAACTCCATGTCGCAGCTTGTGGCTGCCTGTGTCCTGTGGTGAGAGCCCAGCCTCACAGAGATCCTTTGTCTGGGATAGTGCTAGGCTGCGAAGATCACTTTGGAGTCTCTAAGCTCTGCCTTGCCATTGGCTGCACTCTTTGTGGGGCTGTTTTTGCAAAAGGCATGCCCAGCACGTCTACAGTGCTGGCAGGCCAGGGCTGCCTTTAAACACCATGATAATGATACCAAAAGCAGTTTGCAGAACTGCTCTCTGTGGAGGCTTCCTCTGCAGAAGCAGGCAAGATGGCTACCTTGTGGGCTTCGCCGTGAAGAATGCAGAGTCTAATTAAGAAAGACTTTTAGGGGGAAAGGGGGCATTTCCCTCCATCTTTATTTATGCAAGGTTGTTGATTGTTTTTCTTTCCATTGACTTTTAAAGTACATTTTTACATGGGCTCTTCAGGAACTGACTGATAAATATGTTGGTGGTATTAAAAATTAAGATATAAGTAGTTTTAACATAGAAGCAGCAAAAAAATTTGGGGGGGGGAAGGGTGGGAACTGATATATATATTATATAACATATATATATCATTTTAATGGAGGCTCATATTTCAATTTTACTTTTTTTAAATTTTAGGTTACAAAAGAGAACAAGAGACCCCAGAGGGAAAAGAAGCCCAAAGTTTTAAAGGTAATCAGCTGTTGATTAAATGATATTATCTTTTTCCATTTCATTAGTGTTTTCTGTCACCTGAGGGTGAATTTGCAGTACAGTGGATGCATGGATTTTCACTCAAGTCTCTCCTCCCTTCCCCCTTATGTCCACATTAGCTTCCTTTATTTTCAGCTTTCTAACACGTCTTACACGAAGGGAAGTTTATATGCAAAGTGTTGAGTAATTCCTTCTCTAGCTCTCTGTGTGCCATCCGCACCTGTCATTGCACCCAGTGGACTTTAGCTCCTTGGTAGAGAAGTTGACAGCTATGATTCATATTATGACAATTTTTTTAAACATGCAGAAAATACGCTGGTAAAATCCTCAGAATGGGGGAAGGGAAATGTCCTTAGGTTTTAGCTGAACTTCAGCTAAACTCTAAATGCTCAATATGAAGTGTTCAGTATGTCATCCTTAGTTTGAGCTGTCATAGATGGGAAGGAATCAGTTGTATAGATTGCATGCTGGTGCAGATTGCATGCTGAGAGTTCAGCTGTAACCTGATTTGGACGTTAGCTCAGAATCTGCAGCAGCTTTGTTATTATGGTATTTGGAAGAGTTAATTTAAAGGCCTATGGTCTCACTAAAAGTTCAAGGCTAGGGTAAGCCTTAGCCTTGCAAACTGCTTCAGGTTTAAGCTTTCTTTACAATGCAGCAATACCATTAATGCTAGCAATCCTTTTAAATGTAGAGGAAATATTAAGCAGTAAGACTGTTGATCTTTAGAATTGTATGTTTAATGTAAAGGGACTTAAGTAATCGTAGCTTTGTGTCTGCAAAGTTTTAGGACTCCAGCATGCTGAACCGAGGCAGATTCTGATCTCACTGGCTGCCCTGTTGTGTCAACTAGAAATGCTGGCACTGAGAGCCAGTCATTGCCTTGCTAGCTAGTTTCTTTGACCACCTTGAGGTTTCTGTTTCCTGTGTGTGCACAGAAAGGGCATGAACATCAGTCATTAAGACGTGCTTACTAGAAAATGACCACAGAGTCAGCAAACTAACCGGTAGGATCTGTGAAGAGTGTAACTCATGGCATGAGGCCCGGACATAGCAAGTAGGGAATGTTTGTAGGTACATTAAACCATCTTCTTATGATCTGACTACCCACAACTTCTTAGGCTTACCTCCCAGCTCTAGACCAGACTATCGCTGACTTTAAATCCCTCTGTTGAATGATGTGGGGTTGTGGTTGGTGCACCTGTATTCCTAGCCCTTTGGAGGTGAAAAGAGAAGGGCCAGTCTCACCTGGCTAGTGAGTTTGAGGCTAGCCTGGATTACTTGATTGTTTTGTTGTTGTTTTTAATAGAGAGGGTTTCCCTACCTTTCCTGGAACTTTAGCCCAGGCTGGCTCGAACTGTGACAGACTTTTTCTAAAAACCACAAAGAAGCAAGTTTCGTGTTGGTGTACATGAATGACTCATAAATGGTGGGCGTGTGTGCACAAGGAGCTCATTCTGGTCCCTGAGTTCCATCCTTGGGGTGTGTGTCATTTAATTCTTATGTTTTGTTATTCTGTGCATGTCTGTCACCTGTTACCTGTCAGAAATACATGAAGCCTGTCTGTGAATCGCCCAATTCCTTCTGGCTCAGGGAGGACAAAATTCTTGCTTCCTAGTCATCAGTTGGTGTCTGAATAATAGAGGATTACCATAAATACTGCTTGATTTTTTTTTTTTTTTTTTAAAGTCTTGAATGAAAATCTTTGAGGTTGTGGGGACTTATCTTAGACCAGGTTGGCTTCAGGTCTGTCTGCTCCTGCCTCCCCAGTGCTGGGACTAAAGTGCACTGTCAGCACCTGGCTAAAAATGTTACTTTGAATTTTTGTATTTCTGTTTTTGTTCTGTGCAAATGAGTGAAGGTAACTATGGAATCCAGAAGAGGGCATCAGATCTCCAAGCACCGAGTGACAGGTGGTTCTGAGTCACTCGGCAGGGGTGTAACTAAGTGCCCTGAATTGCTGAACTAACTTGCTTCAGTACTCTTATTCAGTACTCTTACTGTTTTTACTATTGTTTTTGTACTTTTCACACACACACACACACACACACACACACACATAAATTAATTTTTTTTCTTTAAGCTAGACTCTCACGTAGCACAGGTGGCATGGAAGTTGCTGTGTTGCCCACACTCACCTCAAACCCCAGATCTTGTCTCAGAATTCTGAATGCTAGAATTTCCAACATGGGCCAATATTTCTGGCTAACCTGAATGTGCTTAATGTTGGGATTTAAAAAGTTTTTTTTTCCCCTTTGGATTTTCTTTTTTGTGGTTTTTTGAGACAGGGTTTCTCTGTGGTTTTGGAGCCTGTCCTGGAACTAGCTCTTGTAGACCGGGCTGGTCTCAAACTCACAGAGATCCACCTGCCTCTGCCTCCCAAGTGCTGGGATTAAAGGTGTGCACCACCACCGCCCGGCTCCTTTGGATTTTCTGTTCTTTATGGAGAACTTTCTCAGCCCTAGTGGCTTGTAACCAGTGGCATATGTAGACCAGGATCTTCCTGCCTCTGCTTCCTGAGTGATGGGACTTCTTATTTTATTTTAAAAATGTCTTGTGCAGTGATTTTGGTCTTATTCAAAATGTGTCCTGTCATGTGTATATGTATGCATCTATAGAAAACAGCCTCAACTCATGTGTTCTTTGGCATGAGATGCAGGATTTAGGGGTAGTGTATCTCAGGTTCTATTTGAGTGACCCCTATTCAGGGGCTCAGTGGTGGGACTCTGCAGATGGGATTGGCCACCTCTCAGGTGGCATTATGCCAAAGACCTGTTTCCCTGGGCTTCACTCTGAGCTCTTAGTCCTTCATATGGTCGGGTCACCCACCATAATGGATGGGGCAAATGGCTGATTTTCTGATTTTTTTTTCCATATATCTTTTTTTAATTTATTTTTCTCTTGAGACAAGGCCTCACTACGTAGATTGGATTTCCTGACTCTGCCTCCTGAGTGCTGGGATTAAAGGTCTGCGCCACCAATGCCTTGTTTTTTTTTTTTGTTTGTTTTTGTTTTTTTTTTTTGCTTTTGGACCAAACCAGGATTATGGAAGTAGTGAGTTTGGCGGAAGTCAAGCCCACGCTAGTGTTCTCACCTGTAAGTCTAAAGCCGTCTCAAACCAAGTGGGTCCTCTTCTTTCGTCACCAGGGGATATTTTCCTAGTATCTGGTTATAAAATATTATTGAAGTACTCCCATTATTTGAAATGTCCATTGATATTAAAACCGGGAAACTGTCTTCAGAAGCCACTTCTAAAGTGATCTTCTATCAACCTTCCTTGATGATGCTGATAAAGGAGAGACACGATTGAGGTCTCGCATGGAGAGGACATTGGGCCTGTGTCACACTAGCATGTAACATGTATCTGTGCATGCATGGAAGCATGGTTTCATGGCACAATTTTCAGAATATTGCCTCATTTGAATGTTCCATAAAGGTTTCTTTCTGAATAATGAGTATATACAAAAGAATGGGGCCATAATGGTGTGTTTGTAGTGCACACACACACACACACACACACACACACACACGGAGTCCAATGTGTTTCCTGCTACATCTTGGAGATAAAAGCCTAACAAGGAAGGGCGAGCCAGAAGCTTAAGCAAGTGAGTTATAAGTTGTGCTCAGTATTTGGAAGTAAGGCTTGGTGCTTTTTAGGTTTTTGTTTCATAGTATTCTGACACAGGATGCGGGTGGCTACCAGAACATTTAGTTGTAACTGTGAGACACTATTTCCTTCACTTGTTGATTGTTACCATGTATTCTAGGGATATTACATAGACTTGGTGCCTTTTCTTTTTGAAACGCTTTATAATTTTGATACCTTTTTATGTACTATAAATTAGAATAAAATAGTGAAGGATTTCTCATAAGTACAATTGTTTGGTGGTTTTTTTTTTTTTTTTTTTTTCATTTTTCCAGATAGTGTAGCCTTGGCTGTCCTGGAACTAACTCTGTAGACCAGAAAGGCCTTGAGCTTCACAAAGATCCGCCTGTCTCTGCCACCTAAGTGCTGAGATTAAAGGTGTGTGCCACCATCATGAGGCTCTTTTTTTAATTTTAATTTTCTGTTTGTTTTGCTTGCATGTATGTCTGTGGATCCTTTGTTACTAGAGTTACAGTCAGTTGTAAATTCCCATAGGTGCTGGAATTGAACCCAGTGCTCATAAGCATTGAGCCGTCTCTGCAGCCCAATGTTAAACCAGGCAGGGTCTCTTTGTAATGGTCCTAGCTGTCCTTGGACTAGCTCTCAGACCAGGCTAATCTTGAACTCTCAGAGATCCACCTGCCTCTGGAGTTCTGGGATTAAAGGTGTGTGCCACCACTGCCTGGCTCATTATTTACATAAGGTGGCAGAGTAAAGGGGGTGTTGGGGAAAAGGGGGGTTTGGAGGTGCAGGATGAGGGATGACACTGTCCTTTAATCCCTGCATTCAGTGGGTAGAAGCAGGCAGATCACTGGGTGCAGCCAACCTGGTCTGTCGAGTTAGTGATGGGACAGCCAGGGCTGTTAAACAGAATCCTGCAGTAACAATTATAAACAGAATCCTGCAGTAACAATTATAAACAGAATCCTGCAGTAACAATTAGACTGCCTGCTCTACACAGTTGAGACCTCAGTGACCTTAGAGTTGCCTAGGGATGTAATTCAGTCTCAAGAATGCTTATTGCATTCCCAGCCTCACAACCTGCAATACTAGTACTTACATCCACCACTCAGAAGGTGGAGGCAGAAGGCAGAAACAGCAGGTTCCCGGTCTAGGCTGGTCTGGATTACATGAGACCCCGTGACACACACACACACACACAGCAAGGACAGAATACTTTCAACACAGAAAGGGTGAGAGAGAGAGAGAGAGAGAGAGAGAGAGAGAGAGAGAGAGAGAGAGAGAGAGAGAGAGAGAGTTAGTTCAGTGTGGTCACCCGGCACAGACAAAGCCTTTGCTATGCAGGAAGATTCATTCACAGGTACAGACGGGG